TACCAACACTGAAGTACTGTTGTCACTTATGGTCACTTATAATGAATCTCAGTGAGCATAAACAAACATGTCATATCACACAGCTCTAAATGCTTGCATAGTTGCTGAAGTCACTATTCAAAATGTTTGTACTGGCACCTGAATACTGGTCGCTATTTGCAGCGTCTGTACTAGTACTCAACTGCTAATTGAGGCCCATTTACTACAGTTACTCTCCAAACAGTGAGTTATGATTTGAGATTCCTCTACCATTTACATTTTCTCTACTGGTTCAGATCCAATTACTTCATACAATTTTTGTGCTAATATCTGGCTATGATTTGAGACCATATCAATGTTTAAAATACTTGGCTTTGTTGAAGCCCAGGCAATTCCAATCTTTAACTTCCCCAAGCTCAGCAGAATTTAAGTCTCGTTAGGTGCCATATCATAGATCAGAAAGGATGTATGCCTGTATATCAAATTCGTTTTTGTAAAAGCATGAAGATTAGGTGGACTTTAGAGCATTACATCATGAGGTTTCCACAAAGTGAATCACAATGAAAATAAGCAGTAAGCAGTAGGTTTATAAACAAATGCTTTGCCTTTCTAAATTCAAAGAAAAGCATATAGACAGTTCTACTGACATTCAATTGCAGTCCTGAAAAACAACTACTACTTACATTGTTTTAATTCCAATTTTTAGGTTTCTTGTAATCCAGAAATATTGTCTTGGCACAGTAATATATTTAGATTAAATTTAAAATTAATATAATTTGGTTTTCATTAAAGAAAATGCCTCAGAATATTCTTAACTCTCATAATTACATATTGTGAACAAATATTTACAGGTTTTAAACTATCTGCTTAAAAAATGTGAAATATCTATTTCTTTTAAAATGTGCTCATGCTATTCATAGCTGACTACAACCGGAATTATAGATATTTTGCATAATAAGATGAAGCACAATTCTGCATTAGTTAGCATTCAATAGACAGAAATTTCCCTCAAGTAAGTGACACCCCTGCCATTTCCTCTTGATACACTGCCAGGTTAGTAAACAATAAACCAGCATTTTAGATATTTGGATTGATTTCCTCTCTGGTTAGATTAAAGAATAATATATGAATTACACTGTTAAATAAGAAACAAATGATAAGCAATTGGTATCGGTGTCTCAACTGATTAAATCCTTATATAATCAATGGCAGAAATTAGTAATGATCTTAAATTCATTGATGTAAAATATGCATGTTCCAGTTCTGAATGAGTTTTATGTAATGTGTGTATTCCATATACCGTCCACATTTTCTTGGATTCTGCATGGATAGCTCAACTGAATTTTGCGGTATCTGAATATGGATGTTAAATGTTGTATTAGTCCAGCACAAAAATTAAACAATGGATTTGGACATGAATGAGAAAATTAATTTTTTTTTTTCTGGGCTTTTAGCTGTTTAAGGAAGAAATATCACCCTTACTACTAAACTAATAAACTATTAGTTGCTTCTCATTTGTTTTATGGTCTTCCAATAAGGATTAGTTTCATGTTGAAGGAATGGCTATTGGCATTGAAAGTATACACAACTGTTTCCTCGATATCCATGCAAAATATGAAAGGAGAGTTTGTGCTTTGGTGTTGCCAAATAATAACAATAGACTGTAAATCTATGTGAATTAACACATTTCAAAGAATGGACCAACATGAAATGGTGTTATTTAAACATAACATGTGAAAACAGATTGTTCCAATATCCACATTATGCACTTCAATATGGCGATCACGTTTTTGCTCACATTTTTTACACTTTAAATGGTTAATGTGTCGTTGATCCATGTAATTTTGTTCCCTTAATTCCGTTTCTCATAGATCACAACTCACGATTGTAAACTTATTCTTAAATGTTTGAAGTTTAAGCATTTCCTAAATTGCCTGTCAATTTAATGTTTCCATTGTTGTTCTCAGTGTGGAAAATTAGAATTAGGCTGGCACTGTCTGTTTTTCATCTTCCAAATCGTTCTCTAGTTTAGAAGAAACGAAAATTTCAAGCTTTGTAATATTGTTAATTATCCTTTTTGAGAATACTAAAATTCCTAGGACATTTTGTTGTTCATAAATTTTGTCTTCTCCCACATCATTTCAAAATTTTAATATAACTATTTCATAATATTCAATTAAACAAGCGGGAAATAGAATTGACATTTTTGTAGTTGTACCTTCTTTCCCACAATTTATTGCTAGGATGTCACTGTTTATAAATAGAATGGTGGGGTATATTTTTAAGAAAATAGAAATTGAATGTCTTGGGGAGCAAAAATACGTATACAATGGTGCTGGATGTTTGTAGACTGAAAAAAACAGTAAATATACCTTAGAAGTTAGCCCAAATTGTAACAATAAATAAATTGACGAAACAAAAATAATAAAATAAAAATAGTTGAAAAGAGTATTTTGGTACTTATGATCTGTGATATTAAGCATGTTAGAAAACGGCGTTTTTTACTGAAATGAGTAGGACCATAAACTTTAAAGTTGTAATGTTTAAATCTTGTGAATACATATGACAGTAATGAATGAATGAGTGGAGCCTTTAGAGTTGTGGCTTTACATATGAATCATCCTGCCCTGATATCCAAACAGAAGCAATAAACTGAGCTTGGCTTTGACAAACAGATCAACATAAGGGCTATCAACTTTGACACACAACTGTTCAATACAGATAAATACGAATATGTGTCTTTGTAATGTCATTGTAAAGATGGAGGATTGTTTTTATATTATTCTAAATCATAAAGGAATTTTTCATGATTGTCTTCTGAGATAAAAATCTTTTTGCCCGTTATGTATGATACTGAGCTGGAATTAAGTGTGGCATAGCAGTTAAGGTTTTATGTAACGAAGTACACTGCAGTTTGTCCCAAATGTTAGGAACCTCCTCAGTGTGTAGATGCAACAACGCACTAGTACATGTCTTCTTTTGCAGGCACGTTCCTTTAACCTAATATTATTTAATACAAATATGGAATGACTTACATGTGTATTTAAATTTGGATGGTGGTTCTTTGTATACGCATGCGATTTCAAACACAGGGATAAACTGCACATTGCAACAGTAGAAATGAAGGGTAGCATATGCTTTGTACATGAAAATCCTGAATATACCGATTTTCAACATTTAAAAAAATGGTGGTGAAAATATGAAAAAGGAACTGTGATATTTTTGTAAATGTAAAAAAAATCCTTTTCAATGTTTATGTGTGCATGTATTTTAACAAATATCGATGACAAATCTAGCATGCTCTCTTACTGATTTACATTTCATAAAAAAAGGAAGAATACAATTAAAAACTTAGTACTAAACTGTAATTATACAATTTCTGTTACAAAATTTCAGTAGATCACCCCTGGTACATTCTGTCATGGTGCAGTCTTTGCGGTAATATTAGTGGTAAGACCTATACAGTAATTTGTCTTTTAACGCGATTGATGCTTCTCATCACTTTTTAGGGACAAATGTATAAAATATCTTCATGGATATTTGCTACTCCATTTGCGAACGTCTGCATTGAAAGAATATCCCCCCATAAAAAATAACCTGTCTGTAGAAATGGGGCAAACGTGGCATTCTAGTTCCCAGTGTGAGATCATCATAGGCATATGATCTGACAATATCTCCAAAGGAAAATTTTGCACCAAAAACTGGTATAAAATTTGGCCATAACAATTTAACTTTTTAAGGACACCTTCAATCAGAAAGAAAAAAAAAAAGTTGCACAAAAGAGGGGCATACCAATTTTGTCCTTAAAATTTTCTATGTACCACTTTAATCTGAAATGAGAAAAATTTTTCCCCAAATAATGTCAAAATGAACTTTGAAGAGAGATAGCTTTCCTCAAAACAACAAAATATTGGTATTGTGTTTAAAGTGATAAAAGGGTCATTTAATAAATAATGCATTAACGGGGAAATTACTGTATTATGTACCGATCATTTTAAATCTCCGTGATAACGGATGACCCAAGTTGAAGTACCATGTTTTCAAGATTTAAACACATAATTTTGTGGTATAATGTGCAAACAAGTATTGAATGTGTTTCCCACTCGATTGTGTTCTGCAGAAGTAGTTGTTTGAAAGATTCATTTAGGCTACTACTTAAAAAAAATTTCAATCATCAAAGCAGCAAGAACATTGTTTAGTGTGACCTCCCTCTCAAGACGTTATCATTCTTCAATTTGTACAAATGGAACATTTTATCAAGCATCCCCTTGCTCGTAAATTTGTTTTATAAATAAAGAAATCTTGACAGATTTAAAACTCTGTAGCTGTTTTTCAAGGGTATAGGGGATGACTGTGTGAGAAGCTTGTTTATTATTAGTTATTAATATTATATATTATATATAGGCACTGCCACGAGAGCCGAAAGTGTTTTCTCCTACGGATAATAATAATTATTATAATGTAAAAGAAATAAAAATCGTTCTCTTTCATCACCTCTACAGTTTCATGATAGATGGCGTCTGTGTCGATTGATGTCATCTTTTTCTTTCTGTTTTAATTGTGTCTCCCGGTTTGTGAATTCCCTCGTTACACCGAGGGAGTCTTAAGCAAGAAGCACAAACAGGGAAAGACTATATTAAGACATTTTTAGAATTGAGGTAATAGTGAAATTTAAGCATATTGATGGTAAACTATTCTTTGTATTCAGTTATGCATAAAACAAGTTCAGTTTCTATTTGTTTTTGTTTGTTTGTTGTACAAGTTTCAATGAGTATCTTGCTTATTATTGATAATAAATAACAGATTCATCTCATATCTGTAGTTATAGTATCTTGGACTAGAGACGGGTCATGATCCAAACCTTGTAACTGTATAAATCAGTGATTATCTATACTATCTACTTTACCTCTCAATAGCTCTGACAAAATGACTGCAAAATATCCTGATGTCTTTAATATTCACCAACAGAACATGCACAGTGGCTTTGTTATTCTAACTGAAAACCATGAACATGTACATACTTGTCTCCAACTTGAGCCAGCCTCTCACATTCAGTACCCCTGACAGACTGCCTAGTACTCCAACTTCTCAGCTTAAAATTGTGGACCATACTTCTCACCATGGAGCCACAGGTTCAGTCCAGGGTAACTTCATGTGAGATTTGTGGTGGACAAAGTGTCACTGGGCAGGTTTTACTTCAAGCTGAAAAAAAAAAATTTAACAGTTATAAATGTAGTTTTAAGTGTTTTTAGGTCTGTCGCAAGAATAGAAGTAAATTTTGAGAATACTTATTAGATCAAAGAGTTCTGTCATGTGAGTTGTAATGCTATGTGTTCCAGCAGAGGTCTAGTAATGTTTTGGAGGAACATCCTGCCTCCATCCTCAGAGTTGAAGACTTAGATAGTATCCTACTCTTAGTCGTGACTGTGAAAACTTCAGATCCGACCTATTCACTTCATGTCCAACTGTCTGTAAGTAGCAGCTCCAAAATTTTGCAGCCCATTTCAATGGCACTCATTGTTATGGACTTCTAGTCAATAATTTTTATACGCAATAAATGAACATCAGAAGAAAGAACTATTTAACCAGATCCGTGATAGTAGAACCCATAGGTGCAGCATAGCCAATATCAAATCTTGCCAACATACCCAGCTCTCAGCCAGTTCCACTCAGTTCCTGTCCCCACAACTTGTTTCTCGAGAACCGTCATTTTTATTTATCATTTGTTCTCAGATATTTAAATTTTGAAACAATATAAAACTATTTTTTATATATCATAAGAAGGGCTTTGTTAATGGTTTTGGTTATGTGTGTATTAGTTTTATCTGTACTTTGGCTTCTGAATAGTCTCTCTTCTGGTCTGTACCGAACATCATTGGTCGGGCAGGTAGCACTCCTGTGTTCTCTTTGGGATTCATAGGGTTCAGATCTCAGCCTGGAGACTAGCTACCTTAACTGAGGTTTTCACAGTTTTCCTTAGATCCTCGAATCAAATACTGAGATACTCCCACAAATTATGCCACAATCACTTTCTTCTACATGCTTACTAATTCATTACTGTATACATTAATCATTCTACATAGTATGAGCTACTGACAGAATCATGAAATAAACAACGAACAACTAATTGAATGGCCTGTATAAGAGTTTCTGCTTTGTTTCTTGTGGTATTTACACTGTTTTACCCAAAATTAATATCAGTGGTATATACCTGGTTTATACCGTTTCTTTTCAGCACTTCCTGATACTAGTGGACTTTCATGATGGCAAAACTAACTCCATGAAGCCAAGTCCTTTTCGAGAGGTCAACAGTCATTCACCTATTCAAAAATTTCCAAACATTTTATAGAACCCAAAGGTTCATTATAACGTTCACATGAGCCCGCCATTGGACTCTATCCTAGCCTAATGAATCCAATCTATATAACTTCATCCTATTTTTCTTTGGTTCTCTATACACTGCCCTCCACTTGCATGAATACTGCATGCTTTTGCAGTTTCATACTCTTGTACATGATCATTTAATTGTATTTGGCGGTGAGTAGAGTACAAGTTATACAGCTACTTGCTATCAAATTTTCTCTAGTTCCCCTTCGGTCCAAATTCATGATGTCGTATCTATCATTCCATCCGTCCGTCCGTCCGTCCATCCATCCATCTATTCATGTTGATCCCACTTGAGCATAAGACATTCGTTTTACTTCAGTTTCTTAATCTTAGACAGTTGGTAAGTACTCTTTAGATGGAGGATCAGCCTGACGCAAGGCCGCTACCTACACAGGACAGCACTGAGACAGTAAAATGTGGTCGTGACTCCCACAGACTCGGACTTGAGAATGACTGCGCTGGCGAGGACCAGCAGCAATTGTAAACGACAGACAGAGTATTCAATAACATATGTGCCATACGTACACTTGGCGAAAGGCCAAGCATATTCAAAAGGGACAAACCCATTTTCAATTCAGAGAGGGTGTTACTTTAAGAACTATGACCGAAAGGGTTCAGTTGAAAAAATGTTTCTGGTCGTGAGTCTCAAGGGGCTTGACGCCAATATGGACTGACTGGTGGTAAATCGCTAGTCTTAAAGTAACTTTGACTTTGACTTAATGAGTTCAGTTCCGTGTGGGAGTCTGTAAAGATAGAACTTGTGTGCGTGAAGCTGAAAAATTTCCATTGTTAGAAGCCAGTGCCAGGGAACGGCTAGTGAAGACACAACAGACTGGAAGAGGCCTAGCATATGCTGTGTTAATTTGTGAATTGTGGAGATTAGCGGAGGCACACCTATGAAACGTGACAATATCAATTATACAGTGTGTCCCAGAAAATGTATACGCAATGTATTAACTTATATTTTGACAAGTAAATTGGACAGATGTTAACCCATTATTTTGTTGGGTACCTTAAAATCATAAATGTTCGAAATGACTACCACCAGCACCAACGCATTGTTGCAGAGAGCGGCATATTTCTTGTATTGTTGCTGCGGGAACAGAGAATAGGCAATTTTAATTTCGTGCTTCAAGTCCCGCGGTGTTCTTGGTGTTTTAGCATACACAATGTTATTTAGATTAGCCTACAGGTAAAAGTCTGAAGTTGTTAAGTGGATACTCCACACTTCTTCAGTTTATCCGCCTTCCAAGGAAATGAACATCGATAAATTTTCCCGCGTTGTTGAGGTGCTGGCGCACCATCGTGTTGGAAGTAACAGTTTTCGTCAGAAAACAAAATGCTGATGCAAGGGGTGATGTCACCCATCACTGTTATGCAGGCTGTACCTGCGTCAGTCTCTTCAAACAAAGATGGCTCTAACTTTCCTCAGGGAGGCATATCGCCCCACACTGATATTTCTTGTAAATAAACTGCTCTTTCTACCGTTACATTTGGATTTTATGTGGTCCAGTATACACGGTTATGTCAGTTGGTAGTACCATTAAATTTAAATTCCGCTTCATCAGACCAAATAATGAAATCTAGACGTGTTTATCTTCCATCGCACAAATGCAGAAGTCACTCACAAATTTGAAGTCTTATAGAGGTGTGTTGGGACCATTAGTGTGCATATATATATATTTTTTTTTGGGGGGGGGGGACCCACTGCATGTGATCGCATATAGTTTTGTACTTAAAGAGTTCCGTGTATTTACTGCCAAGGATACGTTTAAGCGGAGATGAACCTTCGTGTTTTATAGAAACAGGAAATTTCTTGACCAGCTGCATAACTCAGGGTCACGTGCCAATGTGAAGTGTGTCAGCCTACCTGCCTGCGGGGAACTCCAGGTTGAAGCCTTGTGACATGGACCTGGCGAGGTCAAGGTTGGGGTGAAGGTGAGCTAGGTTTTCAATACTCAATTCATATTACGTTTATTTTGCAGCTGGGAATAGAAGAAAGTAGTCAGCTTACGTAAGCCAAAATCAGAGATGGTGATGACGATGATAACGATTATTATTATTCTGTGAATGAGCAGCGTCGTCAAATTTCTATACACATATTTTCCAAATGCGTTATTTTTCCGTTTAATTCCTCAGTATGTCCAGAGAAAGGATTATTTACATACTGTAGCCGTCTGGGGAGAAATATTGCATTGTAGTTTGGTAAGTGGATACCAGAGTTTAGGAGGAACACGGTGGCTCCCATAACGTTTTAAGTAGAATGTTACAAATGTATTGTTACAGTGCTAATCACGAGCACGTGTCGAATAACCTGTATGGGATCTTGATAAAACATACTAATCCTCTAAAAAACGTTTACAATATCAAATTTAGTCGAAATTCGTTCATCGGTTTCGACCATAGAACATATGGACGAACAGACCACCTTATTACATGTTTATTTCATTGATTAATGCAAAAAATGAATAGAAATTTAACTGGCTAGTTATCTAGTCCTGTTGAAAGAAATAGAAAACAAATGACAACCGGAGTTCGGTTCTCAGCTAGAGCAAGAGACATTTATCTTCTCCGCAGTTTCCCCATCGGCTGTCAGGCTGCCACAGCCACGTATTCAATGCCTACAAGGACCTAATTTCTCGTGGATAAATCAGGCGGGATATGAAGCTGATAGTTCCCATCCATGTGAATGTAAAATAATTAATTAAGCAATTAAACATCACGTCATGAAAACTTTAGGGCAGGTTCAGGCATAGCTCCACCATTCTTGACCTCATCCTTAGATGGAAGTGAGTGACCAGTTTCACGACCCGGCCGCTTTACCCCCCAGGGGAACGACCTCCGTTACACTTGGTGTAGGAGGGAGGAGGGGTTCCGGAGCGGGTCTGGACGCTGTGGAGAACAGAAAAATCTCTTGTCTCTACCGGGAACTGAACCCCGATTGCTCAGCCGTCCAGCCCGTAGCGTGTCATTATACAAGTTCAGCTGTTTCCGAGGTTAAGAATGCCTCAGTTATACCGCCACTCCTCCACGCGTCTTAATGTGGTGCTGGGTTAAACACAAAGACAATTTTACTTTTAATTTACACGTGTGATTGTTACTTTACTTTATTTTCCGACACTTGTCAGCAACTCTGCCTGCATAACACCGAATAATTGGATGATACTGAATAATGAATCGGTAATGTAAAGTATTATCCCAACAATTGTTTGGAGCGTGAGGGAGAACCGAGAAACAACAAAGGTTAGGATACTCGTCTGAGCAGCGTTTCAAAGTGGGCAATCCCAGAATACAAGTTAAAAGCATTACCGGTTGAGCCGACGTTCTCAGTACGTGACAAGGGATTACAGTGAAATAACACATCGAGTTTTATCGTCTTGTAGAAAGGCTTTAGTTCTTAGGCGCACGGCTGGTGACGATACTAGTTGGAACCTTAATGAATAGTGGCTTAAGGGGTATCTGATAAAATTTCTCCTCAAAAAGGTGTATTCCTCTCTTCCATCCGAATTATTCGTATAATAAAAATCAGCTAAATTTCTCATGATGACATACAGGTATATCAACAGATGTTGGCCAGGAACATTTCTTATAGATGCACAAGAAATAAAAACCTGCGAGAAATCTGATAAATCTTGATCAAATTGTGGTCTTTTGTGTTGAAACATCGTCTAGTCCTTTAGTACATAGATACCAGCGTTCCGGGCAAACATAATGCCGCCATTTTGGTATCTGCCTACAAAACCACACGTTGTCATGGCCTGTAAGACCACAGTCTGAACAATCACCGCTACGAACATGACAAATCTTATATTACGAATTCTCATTTTGATATTTTTAACTCAGCATCTTCAAGAAAGTGCTGCATACACATACCGAGCACGCTAGCTCAAGCGGTAATATTTCTGATTTGTATTCGTTTGGTGCACGGTTCGACTTTCGGCCGGAACACCGACTAACGTAACTGAGTTATGTGGTAAAAGGTAAAAAGTTAAAGTCCTTGTGCTTAACTAATTAAGCACTACGCCATGAAGAAGTATGGGGCAGTGGATGTATAGATTCACATTTTCTTGATCTCGGCACTAGTTGAAGGTGGTCAGCTTCACGCTCAGGTCGCTTTACCCACGAGAAAGAGCTCCCGGTACCCATTGTATAGGAGGTTGGGTGGATCCCTCAGCCGGTCTGGATGATTGGAGAACTGAAAATTCTTGACCCTACAGGGACTCGAACTCCGACCCCTACGTCGCTTAGCCCATAGTTAGTCGCTATATCAACTACGCTATCTCAGCTCATGAGTTATCTGGTAACGTCTCCTTATTCCCTCCCGGCTATCGCTGGGATAGCGTCTATAATCAGGCTCTGACTGCTTCCGTCTACTACTTTTAAAATTTAGCATTCACGCATCATCCTGCTCTTCGACGCTTTTATAATAGGAGACACTGACAAGTTCGTTAAATAAATTACAAGCATTTTATTCGTTACTTAAAAATCTACGCAAAGATATTGGACGTACTTTGTCATACGATTGGCCTTGATTACGTTACCTTGCAAATGAAATCGGTTGTTGCTTGGCAGATGATTGTGGGTTACTGAATATCGAAAAAAAAAATTAAATCTGTCCAACTGGAAAAGCCAGTTTCGACGAACTTGACATTTCGCATTTCAGCATCTAGTACATGTAACATTAGTTTCCTGAACATATCACCTATGCAGTTTCATTTTGGGAGATACTGCCCACAAACTGCTGAAATTTAATGAAAATCCTTATAGCCGTTTTCAAGAAAATTGGCTGTTGGTTTATAATGATCGTTCACCGACCTATGACGAATTCACCGTCGAATACCGAATTTGAATAAAATCCATCAAAGAGTTAAGACACTACCGAAACGCAAGTCCTTCCATTTATACATAGAGGACAGACACACAACATTCCAAAAACCATTGTTTTTTTATTTCGGGGTTCAAAACGTGTATACCCGTCAAAATTTCCTCCCGCCCCCTTCCGAAGATCACAGTACATCATCATTTATAGTTAGTAGGTGAGAACATAAAAAAAAGCTGTTTGTATTTATAAGTGGACACAGTTTTAGAAGCTACCGGCAGATGGCAATAGACGTACGTATGTACATGCACGGCCACCTTGTAATGACACTCTCAACTACAACATTAATACGTTCCCCAATTAGTGTGTATGTTCGTAGTACTCCAGTGTATGTCACTTTCATAGGCCATGTTACTCATGTTGTTTGTTCATTAAAATTAAGCAATTAATATGGTAAATATTTTTCATTGTGAAGACTCATACAATTTTATAAAGATGTAAGAGAACTGATAGTTGAAACACAGTGTTCTCCCGATACACTTCATTACAAGTGGCTTGAGCAGCACGGTGCTACATGTTACAATGTCGGCGTCACGACAGTGCACCCTGATACGCGATCAACCATGAGGGTTACGTCTTGTATTAACGTAAACACGAGGGCTATTCGGAAAGTAACCTCCGTTTATTTTAGGCAACTAATGTATGAATGGGGGGAGAGCTCGCGCATGCTAGGTTGCGTCACGTGATTCACTGCCTTGTAAACCATCACATAACTGGCCGCATAGTCTTTGTTCTTGTCTCTACACAGTGAGTTATGATGTGGCATGCCACTTATAATCCCGCTAGCTACGAAATTCGCGCTGTTATCTGCTTTCTTCACGCTAAAAACATAGTGCTGTGGAAATTCATCGTGAATTATGCCCGGCTGTTTACGGCCAAAATGTAATGAGTGAAGGAACTGCAAGACAATGACAAAGAATGTTCGAACATGGGCGGGCGAACAAATGTTCACGATGAAGAGAGAAGTGGTCGTCCATCTGTAGTGAGTGATGATCTTGTTCAAAGTGTTAACCAAAAATTATGAAAGGCGGGGCTTCACAACTCCAGAACTTTCGTGTGAATTTCCACAAACGTCGTGCATTGTTCTCTATGAGATTATTACAGTTAGTTAGGCTATCATCACAAGCTATGAGCAAGACACGTTCCGAAAATGATCACGGGTGCGCATAAAACGCAGAGAATGGCTTCAGCCTTGAATTTTTAGAGCGGTACCACAAAGTTGACGATGAATTTCTCAATCACATCCTACGAGTAACAGGTTATGAAACCTGAATTTCACTTGTAAATGTTGAAACCAAAGAGTAGACAAAGCAGTGGATGCACGCACATTCACAAAACAAGCCAAAAAAAAGTTTAAACAAACGTTGTCTGCCTGCCAGAACGCTGATGGCAACTGTTTTCGGGGACAGGAAAGGAGTGCTGACACATCACAAGTGTATTGCGAAACATTAACAGAGATGTGCAGGGTTATTCAGAACAAAAGGCATGGAATTTTGACATATAGTGTACTCGTAGTGCTCCTCCATGGCAACGCGCGTCCGCTTGTAGTTGCACGTACTCTGGCACTACTGGAGCATTTCAGCTGGAATTTATTTGATCATCCTCCTTACAGCCCTGATCTCGCTCCGAGTGACTACCACCTGATTACCTACCTGAAGAACTCGCTGAGATCACTGCGCTTCAACAATAATGAGTTGATGGAAGTTGTCAAAAAGTTACAACGTACAAGCGGCAGTCTTTGACGCCGGAATACGAGACACATTCCCCCCGATACGATAAGTGCCGAAGTTCCGGTGGTATCTACGTCACCAGATGCCGCTCTCAGACTAGCCCTCGCAGAATCCCATACATGCGTAGTAGAGTACTGTAATATAGAAGGCAGTTATCAGGAGAGCCAACCATACAATTGGGGATTTCAAAATAAATATTGCAAATGTTTCGTGCTAGCACACTGTGGTTTTTGAGTTAAACATTTGTCGGAGTTGTTTGAAGTGTGACAGTCTGAAGTGTTTTAAAACAACTTAAACACCAAGCTTATAAATATGGAATTAGAAACAGATAGTAGAAAAACAGGTAAAAATAAATTGATGGTTAATGTAGTTTGTAACAGAATGTGGTGCATAATATTTCTAATACATTCAGTTGACTCCTCTCCCATGTATCCAAAATTCTCCACCCTCCAGTGCCAGTTTTGCCATTAAAATTGATTTCCGTTTTAGTATATCAGTTCGAACATTAGCTTATCTCAGATAACATTACAAGTAATTTTGATCATAGGAGTTTGTTTTATGTTAGCTCCATCCGTATAGTTTCGTAGGTTGTGTTACTTCACTCAGGTGTTCATTTTGCTCATATAGAAAGCCATGTATTTGAATATCAAAACCTTGTGCCATTGATTTGTGTGAAGGTTTATGACAGTGGTCTATTCATTATACAGATAGAATGTTGGACATGGTCTGTCATCTTGGACACACACACACANGATTGAGATTCTCCATCCAAAGGGGCCAAGTGAATATGAACCCCTCCCACACCAGTGACAGAGATTAATCCAGTTTCCAGAATGTTATACTTTAAATATACACAAGACAGAGATAATATCAAACATAATACTTGTGTAACACTGTTCAGTCTTTTACCACATATGGTGAAAGTAAAGTGGACTCTGCTTAGTTCAGCATCACACCATTAAGACCTCCAAGGGAAAAATGGTATGAGTGGTCAGCTTCAGCCACTGGCTGCCTTAGCCCTGAGTAAAGAAACCCTTGTACTGATGAGGTTAGGCTGGTTAGGCCGTAGGATTGGACTGGATGTTGTGGAGAAGAAAAATCTCTGCTCCTGCTATGAATTTAAGTCAGGTGACCTGGTTGTTATGTTCACTGAATTGACCCATTTGGAGATCATGTAAGCAGGCTTTCCCCCAACACTTGATATAGGACACAGAAATCTCCTATGTATTTCTTAGTACAGGTGTGTTTAAATTTACTTCATCTTATGTTAAAAGATGCAAATATGTATGTTGCGTTTAATGCATATACACTGTCACCCATTCAGTTCATATAAAAAGGGGCCAGAAACATTTCCACTCATTAGAGGTTAAATTACTGCTTACCACTGAATAACTCCCCCATAAACAGATATTAATCTATTATTTGACAAATCAGAATACCACACTCCCCGAAATGTTACTGTGCTATGTGTAAGACATCATGTGTTGTCTTCCATGTTCATAGGACACCTTCAAGGCATTTGTGTGACCTGGCAAGGTTTGGAAATTATGGAAAGAGTTTTACATTATAAGAGTAGTTAATTTTAGTTTAAGGTGCATCAGTAACAGCACAACAGAATCGTAGTTACTTACATACAGTTACAACTGCAGATTTAATAATAATTACATATGAGCTTTTCTTGCTTTAATGGCTGTGAAGTAATTTATTACATCAAAATTAATCCACTTTGTAGTACCACACTCATTCGACAGTGTACTTAGATTTGGGAGTCGATTGTATGCCATAAATAATCTTAAGTAATTTGTAATTATTTCAAGCTTGCTGAAGCTCTTCTCACATGGTGTAACTGTAAGAGGCAGAGTAGAAACAGGGGAGAAAGGGGAATATTATAATGCTGATTGTGTGTTTGGACAGTAGTCGCAATGATGTGGTTCGGAATCAGCTGGCAAAGAATGAGGTGTTGCTGATTCAACGTGAGGCAGTAAATTTTGCACCTGATGCTTACAGCTCCTTTTGATTAAGGTATTTTTTTTGTCTGTGACATGTAGACCAAGAAGTGGATTCAAAATCCAGTGACGTTTCATGCAGAACTTCAGTTCCCCGACGTACATCAGCTTTGAGTAAATAAAGAATTTCTTCTTCTTCTATACAAAAATAATTGTTTGAAAGCATTGTTTATTAGATACTGGAGTCGGTGTGCTGCAAATGGCTCAGTTTTTCAGAAACATTTTTCACCTATGTAGGTAAACATTCTGTCATTCCTGTGACCATCCAAATGGCTCTTCCTCTCCATTTTTTTTTCTTCTAAATTTGGCCATGGATGATCAATTTGAGGCAGTTTTACACTCAACATGAATACCTAGTTATATTAAAGAAAAAATGGGTAATATTATTTCTTTTCTGTCTGTTTGCCTACTTTACAAATAATTCTCAGTGCAGTGGTTTCACATGTATGGAGCCCACCCCAATTTAGCATTCCCTTTTAGCGCCCATAGAAGATTTCAGACGGAAATGGTATTAATCATTTGACAACCAGAAATGTGTGTTTTGATTTACTGCTACCCCCCATGTTACTGCTAATAATATCAGTGAACACTCAGTAATACTAAATTGTCAGTTTGCTAAAGTTTAAATGAGGCTTACCTTCCTAATTTTTAACATCCATTGACAGCTATTACTTGAAGATGAAGGGAAAAATGCAGCTTAACGCTTGGTTAGTGAAAGTTACAATTACTTGCTCTTTTAATGAAGACAATACACTGGATTCATTGCTGGATACATGGTCTGCACTCACTATCTTCATCTGAAATCTGCAGTTGTTTTCTGGGCAGTGTTCGATAGACTGAGAATTCTCAATAAAGGGCGTTTTCTTTCATTGTTTTGTGCCTTCAGGAGTGTGATACTTCCTCCAGAGGCTCCGAGCAGAATATTCTTGCATTGAAAATATGTGTATTTATAAAATGTAATACAAAAAAAGTGTCAGTCATTATACTCTTGGGCAGCTTCCTTTTTACCTTGCATGTCCTAATTCACCTCTACAAGATACCTAAGCCTTGCAATACCTTGATCTTTATTGGACTTTATTAAATGCCAAGGTAGTGATTTATGAATCCATTATCGTTCCTTCCCTCAGTGTGAAAAATTATGCTTAGTGGTATGTAGTTTGTAGTGTGTGGATTGATTACCTTATGTGAGTGGATATTTTTATTACAGCATCCGATATTTTAATTGACTTCCTGGAGGTTGCAGTTCACAATGTCTTGTATGCAAGGAATATTTATCCAGCAAGTATATTTGTAAGAAGAAAGAAGTATGGCGTTCCAGTTCAAATGTCAACTCATCCATATTTAAATGAGTATATAACGGAGTGTCTTAAAACCATAAGAGATTTGTTAAAGAAGAATGAAGTGAGAAAAGTAACTGTTGTGTTTTTTGATGAAGTTCACAGACCAATTGAGAGATTTGTGTTTGATATTCTTGATCTCAACAAAACTNGGCTTGGTTAGTGAAAGTTACAATTACTTGCTCCTTTAATGAAGACAATACACTGGATTCATTGCTCGATACATGGTCTGTACTCACTATGTTCATCTGAAATGTGCAAATGTTTTTTGGACAGTGTTCGATAGACAGAGAATTCTCAATAAAGGGCGTTTTCTTTCATTGTTTTGTGCCTTCAGGAGTGTCATACTTCCACCAGAGGCTCTGAGCAGAATATTCTTGCATTGAAAATATGTGTATTTATAAAATGTAATACAAAAAAAGTGTCAGTCATTATACTCTTGGGCAGCTTCCTTTTTACCTTGCATGTCCTAATTCACCTCTACAAGATACCTAAGCCTTGCAATACCTTGATCTTTATTGGACTTTATTAAATGCCAAGGTAGTGATTTATGAATCCATTATGCTTCCTTCTCTCAGTGTGAAAAATTATGCTTAGTGGTATGTAGTTTGTAGTGTGTGGATTGATTAACTTATGTGAGTGGATATTTTTATTACAGCATCCGATATTTTAATTGACTTCCTGGAGGTTGCAGTTCACAATGTCTTGTATGCAAGGAATATTTATCCAGCAAGTATATTTGTAAGAAGAAAGAAGTATGGCGTTCCAGTTCAAATGTCAACTCATCCATATTTAAATGAGTATATAACGGAGTGTCTTAAAACAATAAGAGATTTGTTAAAGAAGAATGAAGTGAGAAAAGTAACTGTTGTGTTTTTTGATGAAGTTCACAGACCAATTGAGAGATTTGTGTTTGATATTCTTGATCTCAACAAAACTCTGAACCAGTAAGTAGCGACGGAAATATTTTGTTTCTGTGCCAGTAGCCTCCAAGAAGTTTTAATGGAATAGAAAATAAAGTTTGGAACATAATTTGGGGTTAGGTATATGAAGAAACTTGCCAGTACTGTGATTATATATATAAACATCTTTAGCATGCAGGCACTGCTGCAGAATTGTCTCAGAATGTGTTTTATATGTATGTTAATATAAATAGAATGTAATTAGCTTACATGGAACTAACCTAAGTGATTACTGAATTTTAATTTCTGTAAAATGATATTTATTGTAAGTTCACTAGAACAACTAAAAGGGTCTGTCACTAAATTATGTAATTAAGTCAAAAGATTGTGCAAACAAAAGAAATGTATTTTATATTTGGAGCCATTTTGTTATATTATCATTAAGCAGTAGTATTTTAATGTATACTTATATCACTGAGTTAGATTTCTNACTGAACCAGTAAGTAGAGATGGAAATATTTTGTTTCTGTGCCAGTAGCCTCCCAGAAGTTTTAATGGAATGGAAAATAAAGTTTGGAACATAATTTGGGGTTAGCTATTTGAAAAAAATGCCAATAATATGATTATGTATATAAACATCTTTAGCATGCAGGCACTGCTGCAGAATTGTCTCAGAATGTGTTTTATATGTAAGCTAATATAAATGGAATGCAATTAGCTTACGTGGAACTAACCTAAGCTATCATTGAATTTTAATTTCTGTGTAAAATGATATTTATTGTAAGTTCACTAGAACAACTAAAAGAGTCTGTCACTAAATTATGTAATTAAGTCAAAAGATTGTGCAAACAAAAGAAATGTATTTTATATTTGGAGCCATTTTGTTATATTATCATTAAGCAGTAGTATTTTAATGTATACTTATATCACTGAGTTAGATTTCTTAGTAAGTCTGTAATAATTCCAAACAAAACATAAGTTACCAGTATAAATTTGAATTACTTATGTGGGGTTTAGATCACCACTCAGTGGTCAAACATGTCAGGCTAAAGCAAATAAATTGACAGTGCAGTCTCACTTAGTAGAGTAGTAGAGAGAAATAGTGTGGATAATTATAAGTAATGGATAATCCAGCCACCATACTTACCATAATATAAGACTTTTATACACTTGAGCATCTGNGACATGTCAGGCTAAAGCAAATAAATTGACAGTGCAGTCTCACTTATTTGTGGTAGTAGAGAGAAGTAGTGCGGATAATTATAAGTAATGGATAATCCAGACACCATACTTACCATAATATAAGACTTTTATACACTTGAGCATCTGAAAAAGGGAGGGTTGCATAGCAATGACATACTTAGAAAGTACCATGTTCAAGTTAGTACTTTTGCATTAGCTTATGTACTGTGCAGATAATGTTTTAGGGGCAATAATATAACTGTATCATAGCATTGTGCCTCATTCAGCTCAAGGTCAAGGATGTATGTTTACTGCACCTCCTTGTAGCAGCGTGCTGTATGTGGGAAGTTGGTATCATCTATTTATTTATTTATTTATTTCGTCTATAGATCATTGTTACATGATATAGGACAAGTCAGTTACTGTACATTGGCTGATAACAGTAAGAGAATAAAGTTACAGTACTTACAATTGTTTACCATAATTACAGTAGTTAAGATTTCATATAGTGTGAGGTGGAATCCATATTAGGTCCCCTCAGCACATCGGCTTCCATATGTCCTATTGTACCTGTACTGATGATAATGCTTATGGAGAATCTGATGGAATGAAGATTGGCAAGGGAAACCGAAGTACTTGGGGAAAACCTGCCCCAGCGCCACTTTGTCCATCACAAATCCCACTTTACTAGACCGCAGCGGTGGGAAGTCGGCCACTAACAGCTTAAGCTATGGTGCGACCTTTGAGATAATATTGGTGAATTTGGTGATAGCTCTGGTATAACGTTTCTCTGTAGACTCTACACTGCAACATCTCATTACATCTGTTCTCCCTTCCTGGTGCTAGGAGAGATATCTGCAAATGTGACAACTTGTATATGTTAATGTTTCCCTGTATGGCTAACATAATGAAACATGGATCTACTACTGGGATTGTGAAGTGAAATATGCAATCAAAATTTGTGGTTCACCCATTCCCATGAAATTTGGGGCCCAGTTTTTGGCTGGGAAATCATAGTCATGGTACTTTAGGATTTAGAAGGAATTTGCCAATGGCCTCCATTCCATGCAAGGTGACAACCATTGGGTTTCCTGTGCTGCTGTGCCTTAGAATTTAAAACAGGCCATAAAGAAAAATGATGAACGAAAATGACAAGAATTGTCCTGCTTCTTCATAACAATGCTGCAATACACAAGTCATGAGAAGCAGTAGCTACCATTTGTCTCCATGGCTTTGAGTAATTAAACCAACTACCTAACAATCCGAACCTGGTCTCCAGCGATTATGTTCTGTTCTGAAGAGATGCCATGGGGTATGGTAGACAGATACTACTATGTTGGAGGAGTGTACTGCCTGCATATTCACAGTAGAAACATAACCTTGAAGATGGATGCAGGACATTCCTCTGAAATGTGGTAACAGTGTATTACTACATCATATCACATCACATCCCAGAAGACAGAATCCTCACTGACATGTAGAATGTTTGTGGTAGATGCCTCCATTTATTCTTGACCTTCCTGCAAATTAGGTGAAAGAATCCATTTCTGATATGGCAACATCCATAAGATTCTGCTGATCACAATAAAAGGTTAATGGTTGACAAAGGGAAGGCATGATGATTATCTAGTATTTTTCCATAACATGTAAGTTTAAATTTTGGCAGAAGGAAGGCCCCACACATATCAAGGACTAAACTTGTCACTCTTTAAATGTGAGCCAATTGTTTATGCAGTGATATCATTTTAATGTCAATTTATGAAGGCTGTTTGAATTGAACATATAATAAAATGCATGTAAATAAACATTTTTCTGACATATTGTTTATTCTAAGTGATAATGAAATGGGATGCTTTATTGCTGTTGCTTTTTAACTTCACTTTATGAAAGCTCAGTCTTGTCTTCAAGACTTGCTGAATTTAGTCTAGGTTTTTCTTTGTACCCTCCTACAGTTTTGGCAGTTGTCAGACTTCAATAAATATCAGACCATACTTTGGGGGGAGTCCATGTTTACAACATTCAGAACTGTTTGGAAATTTGTTAGGTTATCTTTGCAGGAAGGCTACTTTGCCAAGGAGGCAACTTTCTCGAACCATGTTTTCTGACAAGTTATTAATATTTAAGGGAAGAAATTTTTGTTTTATGTATTGCCTGAACTGATTTTTTTATTTATACAGTATTGTGGGAACAGTCTTTACCTACAAGAACAAATGATAAGCCCTGTACCATAACAGAAATTTCCAACTACAGACATGAATATTTTAAGCTGTAGCCTGCCACTTTGTACTGTCGCCTCGGCAATGTACTTCTTTATATCTGTGATGAATAGAGGACATGATGATGGATGGAATCATAAATGCAGGCATCAGTCACAGTAACATTTTGTCCAGTTACATAAGAGAAACATCCATGAACATTTAATATTATATTCTGAGACTTTGATTGAAACAACTTTTCAATTTCAGTTTTGAAGCATTTCTGTGATTCAGGTGTTTTACAAAGGCAGTTTTAATTTAACTGGAACTGTGGAAACAAATGCTGGTGGACCACATGCGGCTTTTAAACCACTTCTCATGCAAATAATATAATGCTGTTATTTTTTTTACAGAGATGATCCGTTTTTCCTTAAAGGTGAAGAAGCTCTTCGAGGATTTTGCCTGAAACTTGCAGTAATTGGAAGTTATTTGAAACCTCTCCCAGAGAACAGTACTTTTCGAGTGCAAATACACACTGTAGAGGCTGTGTCAGTTTCCTTAGCAGAGGATCCTAAATACCAGGTACATTTGATTCTGAAGTAATTAGCATCCAAAAAACTAGGGGTCATCTTATGTTCATGAACAGAAAGAAATGCATAGTTAGGGCAGAGATTTTGCATTAAACAGTTTTGCAGTCCACACATGAGTGAACCATCCCTTTATTATTAGATGTACCTGCTATATGAGAACATAGCATAATTACTGAATAAAAACAAGTAGAAAGGGTTTTTACTGGGCAGTACCTCTTGTGCTGCAGCAGATTGTATTTAACACTGTTAGAGAGACTAAGTATGTGCATGAAGTCGAGTCCTTGAGAATGCACCAGTCACTCAACTACTCAAGAATTTCTCATCATTTTATGGAATCAGAAGGTTCATTACTTTGTTCACGAGGGCCATCCACTGGTCCCTATCCTAAGTCAGATGAATTCAGTCCATCCCCAAATCTTGTTTCTCTATGATTCATTTTAATGTTATCCTCCCACCTACATCTAAGTCTTCGTAGTGGTCTCTTTTGTTCTGGCTTTCCCAGCAACACCCTGTATGCATTCCTATTCTCTCCCATGTGTGCCACATGCCCTGCCCATCTCATACTCCTTGACTTGATCATTCGGATTATATTGGCAAAAGATACAAGTTATGAAGCTTCTCATTATGCAGTTCTTCTCCAGTTTCCTTTTATTTCATTCTTCTTGGGTCCTGATACTCTCCTCAGCACCTTGTGCTCAAACCCCCTCAGTCTGTGTTCTTCCCACACTAAAAGTTTCACGCCTATACAAAACTACAGGCAAAGTTATAGTTCTGTATATTTTAATCGTTATATTTTTAGACATCAGGTTTGAAGACAAAGTTTCTGAACTGAATTGTAGCAAGCATTCCTGAATTTAATGTGCCCTCAATTTCCCCATGAATTAAACTTTGATTTCTTAGTGTCATTCCCAAATATTTTAACTCAGCCACATTTTCAAAGAACTATTAACTATCTTTACGTTATGATTTTGTCCTGCATTGTACAGCTAGAGAGACATGAGTCTGAAATTTCAGTTCTTTAAAATGGGGAAAAGAAAACTGTTTTACATTAGTTTAAGTTCTGAGATGGAGAATTGTCATATATGTTAGTAAACACAGTAAAATTACTCTATTTTCTCCATTTTTTTGTGTTTAAGGAACTTGGGTATATGGCATTATGTCTGTGCATCTGTCCTGCTAATAATTTCTGTACCAGCTTTCATGAAATGTGGGAAAAATATCAAAATGGCATCGTGCAAACATCTTATACGGTAGGAAACCCACAACCAGTGGAGCCCTGAAAAATGGAATGGATATATATGTTTTCAAAAAGTTTTGTATTTGGGGGGATTTTTTTTTGTGGGTGTCAAGAATAATACAGTTGGATATGAGGTTCTCTTGGCAGTGAATGTTAAGAATTTGCTCTTCTGAGATGTGACACCATACAGTTCTGTGGATGCATACCAATGTTCAGGCTGTAGGTTCCTCTGAAACATTGGTGCAGGTCTTCTGAATTGCATAGTGTCACATCCTAAAAGACTTAATCTTAAGGAATGTTTAGGTAATGCCTTTTTTTCACACCTCTTGAGCCATGCCTCATGAGCTAAGGAGGAGCATGCCGTATTGCATGCCTTTTCTTCCAAGAAAGAGGAGAGGCAAAGTGATGCACGTTCTTCCCACCAGAAGTGGATTGCTCTTGCCTCTTTGCTTGCAACTTCCTGGAGTTTTGTGTTGCACTTGCTGTAGCATTTGTATTATGCTAAAACTGCAGGTTTTCTTCGTTAGGATTTAGTTTATTTCATTGAAATGGAGTCGAATAAGACCAGTGTTTACAGTTTGTAGAAGATTATCATCACTGTCCAGAGATGTGGAGTAAAACAGACAAAGACTATAAAAATAAGTAAAAGCACGATGACACTCTGCAGAACTTGGCAGAAAAGTATTCGTGGGATTCAAGGAGCATTTTGAAGAAAATAAAAAATCAAGGTCCTACTTCCATAAAGAACATTTCAAAGTCAGAAATTAGAAAGGTGGTTCATAAGGTGACAGTGTATTCTCTTCAAGCTGGTTTGCATAGATCTTCCGAGGGCTGGCAGAGACGCAATAAATAACAATGATATAAGTTTCTTTTGTAGCCACATAGGTATATAACAAGGTTTGTTCTATATGAGCTGTCCCTGTAACAGGCTTTGGATTTTTATTTCAGGACTTCCCTTGGATTGAAACTGACAAGCAAGAAACTGAACTATACAATCCACACATTGTACCTATCAAAACACTGGACACAAGCTTACTCAAACTGCAGATGTATGTGGAAGAAAGTAGTGAAAAGTAAGTGATTATAACCCATTGTGTGTTTGATGGAACAGTTCAACATGAAAATGTATGCTGTAAATTATGGATACAGCTTCCCACCGAAATGTATAAGGGCTCTTTTCACTACACCACAGTAATATTGAACGTTGTCCATGGTCTTTATATTCACATATTAGTAACTAACTTCACGTGACTGGTTGTCAGTAAACTGACATTTTCTTTTATTAAGTTTTTTTTTTAATAATTGCAGTTATTCCTTCAAACCCAGAATCCTTTGAGCACTAACCTTGTACACTAACTACTGGTCTACCTATTAGTTTGATCCTAACTGTTACCACTGATCATGAAAACAGGGCTCTCAGTTTATTAACATATAGTCTTGTTTTCTGTCTATAATGTAACAATATTAATTTAACAACATTAATTCACACTTAATTCACTACATGTTCATTAAATGTTTAAAATCTCAATAAAACTATTAAAATGTATGTACATTTAGTGTATATGCTACATTAAAATACCGCTGCAGTATTTCCTAAGGTTAACTTACCACATTTGCTCAATTATAATGCCAGATTAACTTACTTAATACTGAGTTTATCACTCTACATGTGAACATGGTTTAACATCTGACAAAAATGGCTACCCCCCCCTTCCTACCCAGAGGAAGCAAGAATCTGATTTTTTAACATCTCAGCCTATATAATTATCCATTCTTTTCTCTTATTTTTGTGTTATTTAATGTTTATTGACATTTGTCATTTGAAAGGCCAGTTCAGTGGTTTCATAAAGTTTTTCATGTGCTACCCAGAAGTTGAGGTCACAATTAGCTTGGCCTGACGTTTAGGATGTAAGAAACTAACTTCCCTACAACTGACATAGGCCGTATGTTACAATTTTAGCTAAAAAATCAGTGCTGTCATCAAGGTAGGAAACCACAGGCATTATTTTTCAGCCAAGTTCTTTCACTGTAGTGGTATGAGATCTTACACACTGTTTTTAAACTGTGGGGCATGAGGATATGATAATTTTTCTTTTGGCTCCTGTGCTAGGTTAGATAAAAATTCTGTAAAAGTATTGTGACATGTCTGCTGAAAGCCTGGACTGTGAAACCAGGAAAGACAGCTGTTGCTAGGGAACAGTTTTGCAAACATGTCCATTGGCGCAATAAACAGCTCTCTGCAAAAGCAGCGACATAATGCAACAATAGAACTGTTGGCAAGGGTGTTTTCTGTGCTGTTGGTCCTAAGGCTATATGAGAAGGACCAGGAGGACGAACGAGTCTAGTCCAGTCTAGTCACTTAACATGTGACAGTATATTGAAAAAGAAAAAATAAAAGCAGATGCTGCTTAGCTTCCTGTGCTAATTTTGATACCTGTGAGCACTATTTTGTGTATGTAATGGAAGGAGATCTTCTCCTCTGTGATATTTGTTTATTTGTACAGTAAAACTGAAATACATGAATATACATTTTTTGTTATATATGTGTGTTTTGTGATGTTAGTATGCTTATGTTATAAAGCACAATAGATCACTGTAGGTCGCGGTGCAAGGGCCGNCAGTGAAATCTCGATTATCCGTGGGCGGATTAACCGGTTTGCGGCTTAACCGGGGCTACTGATGCCTTTTTGAGGCNTATAGCAGCATCTTGCCACCACATTGAAAACATGAAAACCCAAGTCATTTACGGCATCAATCAGTCATCAAAGGCATATCACCATCAACAACAAAGATATCAGTAGTGAAGAACTGTCTTCTCAATGTTTTCATTCCAAGTTATATATTAAGTTGTATATGAAATCACTGATAGAACCAAAACATTGTTTCTGAAGCTGCAGTGAAAGAAGAAGAATACACCAACATTCACAAATTATACACCTATGGTTTTGTGTGTGAATAATTTTTATTTAGGTTTTTCCAAATGTTAAAATTGACTTTTTCTGTGATAGTGACAAATGCTAGTGATGAACCCTCATTCTAAAAACTTGGATTTCAAAATATGAACCAGACGTAGCATGAATTCAACCATGTTTAAATAATTTAAATCTGATGTATACTGAAAATGACATTGTATAAAATATTGATTTTAATCATATTCATAATTTTGCCAAGTCAAAATGCAGAAAACCACTTGTGTAATGTACCTGTCATAGGATTACTGGTAATACTACTTTTGTTTGAAATGTTGTAGTGTGACATGTTAACCTTGGTAGTCAGGCCTAGTGAAACCTTATTTAGAGGTAAAATCTTTACCCGGTTTCTAAGATTGATTTTATAACTTGTATTTTGTGTATTTTTAACCCTGTCTGTCATTTGTTATCATCACCATTATCATTAGAAATCTGTACTTTTTTGTTAAAGCGAATAACTATTAGTAATCAAGCTGGCAACATCAATACACATGACTATAGGATGGTGTACAGTCTCAGACAACATTTGTGATGTGTACTCTGTCCAAAACTATGGCATTATAGTAATATGAGTGTAAATAATAATTATTTTGTTAACACATTTTATGAATTTGTATTTCAAAATGTATACGTCCTAAAGCATTGTAGTAGTAGATGGGATTTTGCTTCAGACATTGCATTTGCATATTATAACATGAAACTGTCAGGTGTGGTAGGCTCTTTCCTAAGTATGCCAGTGGTTTGAAGAGTTCTGAAATGTCCAGCGGCAAGCTGTACCTCATCAGTCATATTTTTGATCTAGAATACCATATAATAAATTCATAGCTGTATGTGTGCATTGTTCCAGAAACTCAGTTCAGTGATCACAAGACTGTTCAATGTCTATATGAACATACTGTCACGTGTTGGGTATGTGACACACGACAAATAACTTCACGCCATTTTAGATCAGGCGAATTTATTCCACTCACCCTTACACTTACACAATTTACAATTTCTCAATCACTGCCATCGGCAGTATCACAATTACTTCTCCTGCTGGAGTCACTGCCATTCACTTGATACAACTCAATAACAATGGACCTCACCTCATACTGAATACTAGTAACCCTCTTGTAACTCAATACTCAGTCCTGAATAATGTTCGCTGCACCTTATTTAGGCTTGGCTAGAGAACACATTGCTGCTCGGCAACAGATATCAGGTATTGTTGTCAGGTGTTTCTACCTACGCACTGTCTAGCAATAGTCACTGCACGGACTCACCTGTTGCATGACGTCACATCCTAGTGGGGAGGGGTGTTTACTGACCGTTGCTTAATGTGGGGGTAAGTGACGTCACTCGTGGAAACGCAGAGTTCACGTGACCCCTACTTCCTGTTGCGCCATCCGTGTTACAATAGTATGAAAGTTGGTAAAAAAGGTAAAGTTGTCCCTGTGCTTAACTAATTAAGCAATACCCCATGAACACACATGGAGGATTGGATGTATAGATCGACATTTTCTTGACCTTGGCACTAGTTGAAGGCAAGTGGTGAGCTTCACGCCCGGGCCGCTTAACCCCCTGGAAAGAGCCCCGGGTACCACTTGTTTACCTGCTAGCTGCTGGAAGTCATAAAAGAGCCGCCAAAAGGTACCTGTATGTGGTATCAAAAGTGACTAATAGATGACACTGCATTGGTAAATGTTGTCTTCGACTTTGAGTTGATCACTTATAATGTTGGTGAAGATCGTAAGATGGCAGTCAAATCGTTGTTCGTTCTGCCATCTACAGTATTATGTGCTAACTACATGTATGTGGTGACAAGGGAAGAGCAGCTGACCGTGGTTATTAACGCCATCTTCCCTCCAGAGTGTATGTGAGAACTAATTCGTAGGCGCAGTAAATATTACCTGGAAGAAATGCAGTCAGCACCGTGTGACCTATGGATGCTTAAAATATATTATTATTTAAAATGGGGAAACAAAAATAATGTACAAGCTATAAAAGTGATTTATTTGAAGATACTGTCGATGGCAAGACCAGCATTGCTTTCAAGAAAAGTTCACAGATGTCACTGCATGTTCATTATTAATATCCCTACATAACAATGCCCTATGCTTATTTTCCTTTTATTTTGACTTTTATTTACGTATTGTTCACGTAATGATTTCACGCATGAGCAATAGGTAGTAATGTTACGTCACCGCCGCACCGAGAGGTGCACGGATTGCATCCAATCACAGTCGATGTTTTGGTCATCTATCAACATGGCAGCGCGCGCAGCCTTTCAGTTGGGTCTCAATCCCGCCTTTGCCCCCTGCCTCCCGCCCGATGCTTTGTCGCACTCTGCTACGGCTGCAATCCTTCAGTATCGTGTTGGTAGTGTGTTGAAGAGTACGATTAGACAGGGGGAGGCGCTGTTCCTAACCGGGTTCACTATTCTCCTTTAGTTTTAGTCGTAGTTTTGAAGTAAACGATCAAAATACAGTTCATAATGGAGCCTCAAACCCAGGAGAGTGTGGCTGGAGGATCACCGGCCGAAGTTCCCAATGATCCAGGGTACGTTGTCATCTTTTAGATTTTGTGTGTCCGTTTCAATCACATCTCTCCTGTGTGTAGTTATTTTTCGTGAGTTAAGTGTTTGAGTATGTGTGTGGTTATGCCGCTGCATCTAATGTGAATAACAGCAATGGATGTGATGTGAATGTGCATTTTGGACGCCGGACGGAAAGCAAGGTGCCGGCTGGTTGCGAGGCTTGCAGCCGGCTCTTTGTGTAGGCCGGCCTGGAGTGAGCGGGGGTGGCGGTATACACATCCCTAAAAAGTCAAGGCATTAGCAGACGTTTCATGTATCTTCACGTGTTTGTTACCCGTATTTGACTCGACAGAGTTAAATAAATTCCTAACTGTACTATGAATCCACTCTTGCACGAAAAGACTAAAACGCAGGTGACAGCTTGCGTTCAGGACGGAAAGGAATTGTGTTCACATAAAAGGAACGACAGAAACCTAATTTGTTACCGTACATTACGTTTTAGCGTGGTTTTCATTAATTACGTCCCTGTGAATAGTGTTCCAAAGTGAATAAAACATGTGAACATCATATCTCATGTTTATTTTTGTATCGGAATTTTCTCTGGGATAATGTCGAGTGACAAGGATATTATAATGCCTGTGGGTACAAAATGTCTTCAGCTGTACCCCTAATTTTCAGCATAACCCAATTTATTCTTTAAGAAGTATTGGTGAACCAAATTTCGTATCAGGATGTCTGGTGAAATCGATCAGTTACAAACACACACAGTCTAATGGAAATAATTTATTGAGTGTT